TCACAGCTATTCCCCAAAATTTTCTAAAAACTAAACTTTTTGTCGAAACTTTTGTTTTTTGCCTCTATACTATATTGTCAAAAACTCTACTTTCTGTTTTTGTCTTTGGATATATGTATCTTTTGCTGCTCTATCTTTTTTGTTATAGGTCAAGATGTTGTTTTTTAGTATGTTTCTGTGTTATTTCTTATTTTGCTTCTTGACGATTTTGGTCGAAAGATCTGCAGGAGAGAGTGTTTTGACACCCTTATTATCAAATATTGCTTTATTGTAATATATATATATGTATATATATTTATTGATAAGTCATTAGCATCATTATTTGAGTTATTAAGTATTAATGTTTAATTTAAATTTCAGTACATAACTGATTTTTTTGGGCAATGCTAGAGTGGTTAATATGGGGTACTTTCGATACACTTCTTTAGTAACAAAGTAAGGTCATAAAATTGGCCGTCGAACACCACCCTTTATGGATACCTTCCTAATGATGAGATACACCTCTATATAGTGGTTGGGACAAGTAGGAGATAATCTCCGAAACTAAGTATCTCAAACTTATTTACTTACTATTTCATTATTTTATTCAGTATATTTAACATATAGATTTAATATATAATTTTAGCATTAATAAATTTTTCGATTTTTCAATTTGCATTATAAAACGATTAATAGTCTTAAAATTATTTGAAATCCCGATAAACAAGAAAATTAACTTAAGCTGATCGATATGATTCCAAAAAAAACAAGATGATATTAATATACGATTTGTTTAACGTTTATTTAAAAACCATGATAGAATTTTTAATATGTTTGAAACCTACTATATTTTTGAAAATCAAACCTTTTTAGCATACTCGAGTCTTATACCAAATGTACTGAATATTCTAATCCAAACCATTCATAGCTTTTTTTTATTATACCATCGAGTTCAACACATTTCATATATAATTCATATGTTAATTATTCATATAAACAGCGATAGTGATCATCCAAAGTCTTTTGAATAATACATTTTTACTAATAGTCACTTTTTGTTTTTACTGTTTATTGATAATATCACATCATGTCACAAAAATTTTTTATTTTTGTCTTAACAATTTATTAACATGAAATTTGTACTCAACATTATGTACATCACATACATCAAGTACATCACATACATTAAGTACATCACGTACATAAAGATAATTGGCTAGAAGTATTTTAAAATTATTTTAATAATAATAAAGTTATATAATAAAACATTAGTCTTTTTATTATGTGGTATCTTACTTCTAAAGGCTTTATTTATAACACCAGCAAATGCTATCCTATGTTATTACAGCATTATAATATTTCAACACAATAGCATTGTGATATCTAGATACATTACCGACATCTAAAAAATAATTATTATAATAATAAACAAATAAATGATTATGTCTATAATTTAAGAAACTACCATAAAAAAATTATCTGTAAAACTATCTATAGGTAATGATCAATATTATGTTATACTACTTAATCATAAAATAATTCTAAATAAATTAGTTTTACTAATTAAATTTTTTAACTTGAAACATTAAATATTCTAAAATATCCGCTACCCTAAATTGATATCTGAATATTGTATATTATATATTTTTTTTATACATATAAAAAGTTTAATTAAGAAGGAAATCAATCAAGCGGAAGATTTTCTAATGACAGATCAAATTGCTTGGTTATATATACTATAAAATTGATTTTAAGATTGTTAAAAAAAAAAGACTAATTTTTACATTATTATATAATATGATACATTCTTACCATTGGTATCGTTTTCGATATCTTCAGAGTTAGAATCAGTAATATTAGATTTATCATTCTTCAAATCTGGAAATTGTAAAATCCTACTTGTATATACAGCATCAGGATGATAATTCTCATCAATATGTAGAGTAGGCACAACACCGTTATTAATCTCTTGATCATTCATTAACATTTCTAATTTTTTAACTAATTCGGTTGAGTTCGGTCGTCTTTCTGGATCATTGTGCCAACAAAGTTTCATTATCTCTGCATACTTTCTAGGAGTTCCTTCTAGTATTTCCGGTCTTAATCCCTTGGAAATATCCAAAGCCAATGAAGTATCATGTGCATAATTATAATCTTTATGACATGTATAAATTAGTACTTGTTTTTATTTTTATTTTTTTAAAAAAAATCAGATCGTATGACATACATGGTTTTTTTAAAGTAGAAACTTCATACATAATCATTGAGAAGCTATAAATATCGGATGCTTTTGTGTAAGGATTACCGAAGAGAACTTCTGGGGCAACATAAGGAAGGACACCAAATACTGGCTTTTCACGTGAACTTGATAATTCTTCTTTAACGGGTCTACATAAGCCCAAGTCACCGATGGCAGGTCGACTATTATGATTATATTAATTAAAATACATCAATTAAAAAATTATTTCCAACATGTCAAATATAATAAGATGCCTAAATACCGTGTAAATGTGTGAAACAAGATGTTTCCACTATGAAAATCTCTGTGCACTAAGTCTGCTTCATGAATTGCTTTTAATCCTTGAGCAATATACCATAATTCGCGAACTTTACGATACCAGTCTGTATTTACCATATGACTACGCAAAAAATGGGAAAGATCGCCCTGCTTCGCGTAATCCATAACCATCATATAATCCTTGGTATCTGGATGTTGGGTAATACCATAGCACGTAAGTACTAGTCCAGAAGAAAGACATTTATAATGAGCTCTGAGCTAAAATGGAATATGTGTGTTAGAATTTTAATTAATACTAGTAACTAACAAGTAATGACTTACCTCATGTAAAAATTCCGGTCGAATATCTTTAGAATCATTCAGCATTTTTAATGCAACCTTGCATGCTCCTTTTCTTTTCCACATACTTCCAAAGAATCCTTCACCATTCGGGACATATTCCCATCTAGGCCCATCGATCCAAAGTGCAGAATAAATGCTTCCAAAACCTCCCTTAGCAATAAACTCAACATTCTGAAATCTTTTATAAGGTATCCATTCTAAATAACCAGCCCACCAAGTAGAATTTAGTTGTGTCTCTTGGATAAACTCATCAATAAATCTATTTCCACTCGTCCAAGTCGAAAAATTTTCCCGGAACCTACGAGATTCACAGTTTTGACACCAGTATCCTTTGATATAAATAGAAGTTTAAATAATATTGAAAGTGTATGTGAAATAAGGATAAAAAAAAGACATAAATAAGTACCTTTCGCGGTTCTCCGATGCCAACAAACAGCACACCTCACAATAAACTTCGGGGGTAAGTTAAAATTTATATTCCAGTCTTCAAATAATAAGGAGTGTTGTGAAGTTTCTTTTTTTGTCTTTGCAGACCTCGCTCGCATAGCCGCCTTGGCGAGCACAATGGTGGCGAAGACACTACTAGCTATCATGGTTCATACGTTTGAAAGAAAGTTGCATAATTATATTTATATTTATTTATTTCACAAAATTAGAGAATTTTATGTTACATTTCGAATGAATAATATTAGTCACGAGATCAGTTGACCCAACATCTTTTATTTCGAATTGATGTGATTAAACCAATCATTTAACAAATTTTATTTACATGAATGTAATTTTAACTAATTTTAACTAATGAAAACATTGCCTAAACACTTTTGCCATACCCATGACTATTGCCAGCTTTGATACTTTGATACCTAATTATGCGCTTTTCACATCACTAAATTTTCGTATGATTCTATTTCTCAAAAGAAAAAAACCTGGAATTAATAAAATTGAATTTATTTTGGAAATCACATTTTAAAAAAAAAACTAGGTTATTTTGGAAAATCGGTTTATTTTAAAAAACCCGATTTGTATTTGGACTCCCAAGTTTGTGTGTAAATACCTGTTATGTCAGTAAAGTTTACTTGAAGATTTATAAAACGGTAAGATCGACTCTTTTTTTCGATGAAATTGTAAAAATATATACTCATTATCGTGTAACTAGTATTTGAATTTCAAATACGTATAAAAGGTGTTATTTATTAATTCAAAAGCTGTGCGTATTCGAATTGTAAAAAATGAACGTTTGTTTTTTTTTAATCAAACATGTAATATTGTAATACTAATAGAGTACATATTTGCGGTGTTATATGTACGTACTCAAATTGGAATGGACCTTATTTGGACCATAAATAGAATACAGGTCCAATAAATTTTATTTGACAAATAGCTTTGGCAAAATTACTACGTATTCTTGATGAATTACGTAGCAATACCGATCTTAATAAAGTTAAAAAAAAAAAATTTAATAAGGTTCCCTAATTCTAATTTTATATAAATATATACTTCGATATTAGTATAGTATTTTAAAGATCATTTTCTTAAATTTTTTAGAGAAATTTTATTTTGACTCAGGTCAAACTAACCTGACAGGGAGTATTTTTATATTGCATACCGTAACAGTTTATATAATATAATATGAAAATACCCCTGCTAGGTCATTTTGACCCGGGTCAAAATAGAATTTCCCAATTTTTTAATATATTTAGCATTTCGTAACTACCAGTTTTAATAATTCGAGTTTATCACATCAATTTATCAAATTTATCCAATTAAATTGTGATAAATTTTGATTAATTATTATTGAAATTATTATTAAAATTATTATTGGTTTTGACTTTATTAAGTTTGTTAATATTTTTTTGTTGATATATTTACCTTTTAAATTAGTTATTATTATTATTATTAGTTTAATGTTAAGTATTTGTGATTCAGAATTTTATTAATAGTATATTTTAGTTAATAGTTGCATTACAACTACAGAGGCAACTATAAAAAAAGTATATAATTAGTCATTTGCATAATTTTAGTCATTGTTTAATTTAAGTAGTTCATCTAAAGGTTTTATACTAGTTATTATACCTAAAATCTTTCTGTAAATTTTTTATTTAAACATTAGTTCTTATATTTGCTAATCTACTTATATTATTAACTGCTTTTATTGTTACTAATACAAATATGTTATAGTTACAAAGTTTTTAAAGCAGTTTATTTATATTTAATTTTGTATTAAACTTACTAAAACCTTTTGTATTTATATTTATAGTTAGAGTTTTATATTAGATTTTACAATTTAGTTTAGTTTGGTTTAATTTACAAATTTTTATAAACTGGGTTAAGTTTAAAGCAAAATTTTATAATTGCAGATTTGAGTAGATTAAAATTTAATAATAAATTTTGCATTAAAGAAAAATTTTATATATATGCAAATCAAGTTGAGTTAACAAAAAAATTTTAAAGCTAAGTATAGATTAAACTGAGTTAACAAAAATTTTAAAATTAAGTATAGGTTAGACTAAGTTATAAAAATAAGTAAGTTGCTGACTTCTATTTATAGTTAATCTGATATTACTATGATTAAGACAAATACTTGCAGTTAAAATAATTATTAAATTATTATATTCTTGTAAAATTATCTAAATTTTAGTATTTATTTTTTTGATATTTTTTTTATTATCTTTTACTAATTACTAGTTAGAACTAATTAAACTCTTTAGACTACCAATCCAAATATCTTAATATAACATATTTCTATATATTTTTTTTTAATAATTTTAACAATCTGATTAGTTATATGTTTCTTTTATATACCTATTATCTAATTTATTTGATTATTACTTTGAAGTAATTTGTAAGCTTTAATTAATTTAACAGTATTGTCAAAAGTTTTTACTATTTTTTATTCATAAATTTTTAAATAGATTTTTCTGTTTTTTTAGTTTTTTAGTCTTCTATATCTAATAGTCTTATTGTAAGTTTGTACTAAAGTTTTATTTAATTTTTTTTTTCTCTTTGACAGCCTTGTTATAAACCTTTATTAAGATTCTTATACATCATTTATGTTAATTTTAATTTAAGATTTCTGGTTTAGCATCCTCTGGCTTCTTCTATAAGTGTTTAAAGTAGTTTGTAATACCAAATAAGAATTTATATTCTTGTTTAGAAGTTGTATCAGACTAGTTAATAAAACTATATATGGATAATTTTGATTTATTATATATATAATTTGTTATTGAGCCATGTTTTTTAAATTTTTTTATTTTTTTCTTATTTTTTTTCTTGTTTTGTTTTAATAATAATTTGGCTCTTTTCTATTTTATTAAAATTTTTCTTATATCTAATCAAATTTTCTTTTTTTGCTAGTAATTGTTCTTTAGTATTTTTTTTCTATTTTTTGGCTTTTATGTTATTTTTATCTCCTTTTTTCATAATATAAAAGATTCATATTGCCTTTTTTATATATTTTTATAAAAGTTATTTCATACTGCATTAATTGTTATTGCTAAAAATTTTTTAGTTTTTTTGCTTGATTAGATTATTTCTTGTAAAAGATCTACAGTCTTTTCTTTTTCTTTACCAAATCTTTAATTGTTTTATATTTTGTTTTAAAAATTTCATTTGTATATGTGCTTTAAAATATTTTTTTTAAACTGAACTTTCTCTACTTTTACTTGAACTTTACTTAATAAATTTGATTATACAAGCTTTATTAAATTATTTTTTATAATTTTTTAATTATCTTTGTAGTATTTACATAATGCCAAATAGTTTTAATTCTCTTCAAATAATGCAAATCTAAGATAAGTCTTAATAACTATGTAAATCTGTAAAACTTGAAAAAACTGAAACCTATTTAAAAAAATCTAAATAGAAAAGTAAGATCTTTAATAATATTATTATAAAAACTAAATATAGAAAACAGATACTAATATAAATGATTCAAATAGACAAAAACTTCTAAATAAAGAGTATTACCAATTAGACTGTCAGGTTCAAACTGAAAAAAAAATATTAGATTAAATTTGATATATCAAAAACAGATTATAGTTTTCCTAAGCTATCTGAATTAAGAATTTAAAAACAAAATAAGATATATTAAAATACTAAAGATACATTATAAAGTAAGTGCTAAAAATACAAATAAACTTTACAAAAACAAGTTTTTGTTAATAGTTTGTAAAATAAATAGATAATTAATAAGAAAAACCTTCTAAGTTTTACTAACAGATGTTATATTCTAAAAAAAAAAACAATCTAAGTATCAGACAAAAAAAAAAATATTGTACTACTTAAATGATATACTAGTTAAGTATATATAAAAGATTTGTAATAGTAAAATGATTAATAAGACAGATGATTAGAAGGTTTAAATAAATAATCTTTTAGTAAATAATAAGTATAACATTTAATGTAGAACTCAAGAATAAACTACTTAAATAGACAACCAAAAGTTGTATATATAACTAGTTGTATTTTTATCTTTGTAAAAAATAGTTGTAATAGCTAACTTCAAATAAATCAATAAAAATATTATTATAAAGTATGGCCTTTAAAAAAAAAAATTAGTTTAATACTAAAAATTGTTAGATTTTTATTAAACTTAATATATTAATTTTGTCTTAACTTGTTTATTTATCAAAAATTAAATCTAAGAAATTTATAAACTCAAAATAATATATATCTTTTTTTAATACTAAAATTGTTAAACTTTTGTATTAACTTTTTATTTATTGAAAATAAAATTTGAAAATTTTATAAACTCAAAAAAAAATATTATTTTTTTGTTCTAATTACCTCATTACTATACTAAATTTTTTTGATATTATATAACTTTGTTAAAATTAATAATTAATATGCTTTTTAGTTTGCAAAAAAACTTAAAATATTGTAAAAATAATATATAATTTAACTTAATTTCATTATATTTTAATAGCAAGAATGATAACATAAAATAAATGATACCTTGTTTATCGAAAATGTGTGCTAAAAGTAAAACTTAACACATTCAAATGTGTTATAAAATATGAAATACACATACATAGTAAAATCGGTAGCTTCCAGCAGGCCAGCACACTAATGTTATGTGTAATTTGTCTAAAATATAGCTTAAAAATAATAAATATAGCTTTTTCAAATCAATGTGAATTTGAAATATTTTTTGAAATGTAACTGTTTGTCATATTTTTTAGGCGTTACACGCATACGTATTAATAAATAAAAATAAGATTATCAACTTGAACATTCACATTAAGACATGGTTAAATATATTTTTATGCGACTTAGATTGCTTAGAATTCATTTTGTTGTTGCTTGTTATCATGATCGTTCAGGCTCAAAGGCTTATTAATCATTGGAGAAGAACCTTGATTGAAATTAGCGGCTTTTGGTGTAAGACCTACATTATATAAAAAGGTTAAAAAATTTTAAATATTAGAATTTAAATAATTTTTCATAATATAAAGTAAAAGCTTACCTAGAATTTTAAACATTTCTTGATCGGCATTAAAATCATTATTATCTGTTGTTAATAATTTATCGCCAGTAAAAATAGAATTTGCACCAGCAAGAAAACATAAAGCCTATAGAATTGTATACAAAAGAAACATGTCTTAATATATAAATTAATAAAAGAAATTATTGAAGAACATGATGAACATTAAATACTTGTTCAGGTTGGGAAAACCGTATTCGGCCAGCAGATAGTCTAACCATTGATTTAGGCATGATGATGCGAGTAGTCGCAATCATTCTAATCATTTCCCAGATAGAAACAGGCTAATTTACGAAAAAAATTTAAGGAATATAAACAAAAGATAGTTCTAACATAAAACTCGACAGCATCTTTTTAATGACATAGGAACAAACCTCTTGTTTTTCCAATGGTGTACCTTCAACTTGCACAAGCGCATTAATAGGAACGCTCTCAGGGTGCGTTGTAAACGTTGCCAGAGTATGTAACATATTTACGCGATCTTCAGGAGTTTCACCTAACCCAATAATACCTCCCGAGCATACAGAAATACCTGCATTTTGAACATTTGAAATTGTTTCAAGTCGCTCATCATAGGATCGAGTGGTTATGATCTGAGAAATGGATGAATGTCAATGAAATAAATAAAGCATAATAAATATATCTATTTAACGCAAACCTTTGAATAATATTCACGGGATGTGTCCAAATTATGATTGTATGCGGTTAAACCAGCTTCTTTCAGAGCTTTGGCTTGGGCTTCATTCAACATACCCAAAGTGCAACAAACCTCCATGTCCATTGCCCTATATATTAGCAAAATACAAAGTATTAATATATTGTCAAATAAAAACATAAATAACTGGAAATATAATATATATACCTAATCTCCTCCACATATCCCAAAATCTTGTTAAAGTTGGATTTTCTACCATTAAGATCACGCCAAGCAGCACCCATACAAAACCTTATGATACCGGAAACGATGATAAGTTGGAATAACATGTAGAGGCATCTTTAAGAGATATTAAACACACCTGGTACTACCAGCTTTTTTGGCATTTCTAGCCGCCGTAAGAACATCATCGTTTTCTAACAGTTTTGTTGCCTTGACGGGGGTTTTATATTTAGAAGATTGTGGACAGTATGCACAATCTTCAGAACATCCACCGGTTTTGATACTTAAGAGCGTACATTGTTGTACGGCAAGTGGATCATGATATTTACGATGTATTTTTGCCTAGAAACAATTTATAAATATGCAAAATAAAACATCACATAAAATTCAATATGAATTTTAACATCATCGAAATGCAAATTATGATAATAATAATCCTTGATTAATTTGGTTTTATAAGTTATGAACTTACACCGTAATATAAAAGATTCATTATAGGTGAATCATATATAGACTTTATTTCATGTTTTGCCCAATCGTTTCTCACATGACCATCTGCATATATCGATATATCAGCATCTAAAGGTTTTGTTACAGGTCCAGTATCATGGCTCACTGAGGCCAACCTGTTAATTGGTGTAGCAGAGTATAGTCTTATAAATTTTAATAAGCCATTTTTATTATTGGAACTAGAAAAACGTAGGATTCTCATCATTAAATTTTTTTTGATTTTTAACTGAGGAAAAAGATGCTATTTTTTATAGATCTTATATATAAATATCGGTACACCCAAGGATTTACAATCTATCCGAATTGATCATCAAAATGTTTTTAATAAAAATTTGATAAAAGTATAACCATTAATATGATTTGCAGTAGTAAGGAGAGAAAGAGGAAAAGTAAGGTGATTTGCAAAATTAGAAATCAAATTCTTGTACCAATAATTTTATACTACATACCAAAATTGCAATCTAAATCAACTTAATCACTGGGCAATAATAACCAAAAATGGCTACCCTTTTTTTGGATAATGCATACTGTAGATTTTTACCTATTCTTAATTTAAAATTTCTATGTATCGGGTATACAAAAAAATAATTAAAAGTTGTCTGGAAGATCAAGATGTATATCGAATAATTTTTATTCATGTTTTGTTTTTTGTTTTTTTTTAATATTAATGGTGATTTATTCATGTTTTGTATTTTACACTTTATAGAAAAAATGTAAACAAATCGTAGTAAAAAAGTTATTCGGTCTATATGAGACTCAGAATATATGTTCTGAACAAAAGTAGAGTGTAGCTTAGGAACTGTGTTTACTGCTACGGCTGTTTTGGAGAGTCCAGTTAATTTTCGGAATGATGCGACTTCATTGATTAAACAATGAAAGTCCCTGAAATGGCATATGCCGAATACTCTAGTTCCAATCGCAGATCTGAATTAAATTCTATAACTTTAATTGATTAGTAATGATAGTTGGAAATTAACGAGATCTATTTTATTATATGTTTAAACACTCGCACTTTTATTAGATCTTTTATAGTATGTGGTCTTCTGAAAAGTTTGGATTACAACGTCAGTCAAATAAAAGCAATATATTATACATAGTAACCGTACATGCAATTTTTATATAATTGTATGTAGGACATAAATCGACTTTGGATATTATAGGCCTTTTTATACGTAATGAACTTACTACTCTATAGCGAGGTTTTTACCATTTTTTCACGTTAATATTTCTGACAGGTTTCGAAACAATTTATATCGACCTTCAGAAAAACAATGGCTTAATGATTTGTCAGAATTCTCTTGTTTAGGTTTTATAATTGCAATGTAACCTTCTTTAAATGGCTATTAGAATTGAAAAAAAATGATCAAATAATCACATTTAAAAAGAAGATTGGAATAATAAAAAATATTCAGGTACCTTATTTTGCAGCAATTCCTTTTCATGTTCCAATCTCATATTGATATCAATAATCCAACCTACGACGCCAGCTTTAATGCTATACCGCTTTCCTTCTTTAGTTGTAATGACACAAATTTCGGTATCAATTAAAAGAGGATCTTGTCTTTTCTTATTAATCGAGCTCTTAACCTTAACATCATATTCTATAGTTTGAATGTTTAACGAATTATAATCAGAAGAGCTCTGAGCCAATGATCGTTGAAGTAAAGGATGCGTTGGTGCTAATCCTATGACGCATAATCTTTAGCATAGTAAAGGAAATATTATTGAAATGGTTTTTAAGTTGCTCAGATGATTTTTTAGGTCTTTACTTGTTTGGAGCTTGATAAATATACAAATCTTCCGTCGAGTTTTCTTTGAACAAGAATTGTCAATATAAAATACGCATTAATTCTAAATATTGAATTCTTAATCGTGCTTACTCAGATCAACAACGTAATGCTTTGAATAATATTGCTCGAGATATGCTAATTCATTTTTTTCGTATGCTTCTTTTATAGTTCTAAATTGCTCTAAGTCATAAACAGGGCTAGTTAAGGTGTCAGAGTTCATTGAATTAGCCAGAGCAGAGCATAGCGGGCTTTCTCGTTTGATTGGCTAATGTAAATCAATTTTAGAGTACTTTTTGAGATTGTAACGTTTCACTAATCAAAAAAAATAATCTGAAAACTAACTGACTTTGCTTAGAAACAAAGATTTTTTATTGCTTATTACTATAATAATTGTATATAAGCGTTAAATGCCTGAAACGGTCACTTGAAAAGGACCAACAAGAGCTTTTAAGAACTTGTTTAATTTATGATGTTAATAACAAAATTGTGTACATCAACTTTTTTTAACCAATAAAATTACAACTTATTAGAAAACATGACAAAGGTTACACAATCAATGCAGTTACTAACATTTCTAATGCTAATGCTAAAATTTTAAAAAAAATTGAAAAAATCTGTGCCAAGTAGAGTGTCCAGGGGGCTGCTGCCTTAACCGAATTCTGCGGCGACATATAAATAGTACTTTAAAATTTTAATATATAAAAATTTTATTGTAACTTCAAGTTATATTCTTGATTTATAAACGCTAAACAAGTTTACAGGTGAACTTCTAAAAAAATTTAATATAATAACTTATCGTGATTGAACAAACAAGGTACGTATATTATACCTTATTACATTATATCTTCTGGATTTGGTCGCATCCTAAAAAAATTAATAAAATGATATAACCAATACGTATTGACTTTTATTTTCTTGTAAAATATATTTAATAATTTGAATTATAATATAAAAAATTTAACATAACAATAGAATTTTCTGAAAGACATCTACGATCATTAAGGATATTTTTGTAAGCAAAAAAACTACATTTAACATCTATATCTGAAACAGGTAATTAAATATAAAATAATGCTATTCTAGATAAAATTGGTAATATGCTTCTTTTTTCTATCCAATAATTATTTAAATCAAAAACTTTCATTAAAAATTTCTTGAAGACCACAATATACTTCCCATTCATCAATTTCGTTATAATTATCTAAGTAGTGTCTACTATTTTGTGATTATATATATTTCGGGTCAAAAGAATCTAATTGCTCTAAAAAGAGAAAGTGCATTATGTTTATCAATATGTTTTTTAAACTTATTTCAAACTAACTTATATGCTTCATGAAAAATTAATTTATAACTATTTAAGTTGACTTCATTTGATATATATTTCTCAATTAGTTTTGTACTTAATCATGATTCTTGTATACCATTTTCTAATTCTGCATAGGTCTGTTCAATTCTAGTAATTATATATGGTGTAATAGGTTTATTTCAAATTATGAAGAATTCTAAATTCATGAATATATATTTATTAAAAACAAGATTTAATCATATTATAAATCAAAATATATGATATGGGGATAAGTTAATAGAAATGCACCATATTATTTTTAATGAATTTTTTTTAAATATTTAAACAAAAATAACTTAGCAAAAACTTAATCAAATTTGATAATTTTTTTTTTAAATAGATTCTATAAATTTTTAAAATTGTTTTAAAAAAATTTTTATTAAATTTAATTAAGTTGTTGTTGAGTTATCTTTGTTTAAAGTTTTAAAAAAATTTACTTAGAAAAATTATGGTGTGTTTCTATTGACTTACCCCCATATGTTTAAAATCAAATAAAAATTTGCATATATATACATATATATTGTTACAAAGTAGATTTTTAGTATAGCATAGTATATTATATTATTAGTAGTAGTTATATATTTATTATTATATTTTATGTTATATTTATTATTAGTTATTAGTATAGTTATATTATAGTATATAGTAATTAGAAAATAGAATCTTAATTAGCTATTAGAAGTGTAATACAAACACATGATATTGGATAACATCTATGATGTCATTATTGTCTTACAAATCCCAAGTATCCTTATACAAGTTTCATGTATCCTAGTACAATTTATTGTGTCAAATAACACAGTACAAGAATCCTAAGTATCTTTTCCATAATCTTCAAGTATCCCTACACAATCTCAAGTAGCTCAACACAATCTTTAGGTATCTTTGCACAATCCTAAATGTCTCTGCACAAATCCAAGTATCTTGACACATGCTCCAAATGTTTCAAGTACAAATAACAAATACACATAAACATTGTTCTAACTATTCTTATACAAACTCTATTTGCTTTTGCACAATTCTTACTACTCCAAGTACAATATAAGAGATGTTACTCAAACCTCCATTATCTCCACTAGGTAAAAAGATATATAAAGGGTACCTTTTTCTCTTCCTTACCAATTCTAAGTTTCTATACTTCAACCCAGACATAATGATTTTTTAATGATAAAGTGAGATATTTCCCCTCTAGAGTAATTCCTACAGTCAAGATTGTCATCATGTATATTGTTAATAAAAAGTTAATCTATATACTGTTACAAAGTAGATTTTAGTATAGTATATTATAAATAGCATTAGTAGTTATATATATATATTCTTTATTGTATTTTATATCTTATATTTATT